TTCCCTCCCTCCCTCATCTCCCCATACCTTAAGACAGGGCCTTGTGTATCCCAGGCTGGCATGGAACTCATCCTGTAGAGGGAGTTGACCTTAAACATCTGACTCCTGCTAGGATCATAGGTATTCTCAGTTTGACTAAGCACATCTCACTCAAGTTAGGGTTTGCTTAGGGGCAGATTCAGCAGCTCAGCTTTGAACCTATAATTGACATGTATTTTATATAGTTGAAGCATCTACGTGCAAAGAGGAAAACTAGTTTGGTGGAATCTTGCTTTCTGAAGAACTGAGGCATGTTCTTCATAAACCTGCTCAGAAGCAGGAACAGAGTGAACTTGAAGTACCATGCCATAAAGCTCACATTATTGACTGACAGTGCATATCCATTTGCATTTTTTGTTTTTGCTTCTGGTTTTGTTTTTGAGGAAAAGAGTCTCACCGTGTAGCCTAGACTGGCATCATTCCCAATCTTCTGTCTTGGTCTCCTGAATGCTGGGATTACAGGAATGTTCCATCACACCTGGCTTATCCTTTTGTATTAAATATGTGAAGCAAGCGTGACAGTTGCTGGGTATACCAAGAAAGAAGTAAAGGGGGGTCCAGTCTCCCCAACACTTGGTCAAACCTGGACTCCCTCCAGAATTTCCAAACTAGGCACGTCAGTAAGCACACATAATACATTGCTCTGTGTGTGGACACAACCCAACTGAGTTGGCTGGTCTCAGAACCAAAGGTCAGCAGAGGACCACACTTCACAGAGGGGAGGGGCATTAACTGTCTCGTGGATGTGAGTCCAGCAGGTCAGCCACATTGGTGTCATTTGAGAACACTGAGCTCCAGTTAACTGTCTCCAAATCAATGGCCTGATTACAGCAGAAACCAGAAACCATGTAGCTAAAGTACTTCTGCTCTGGGGAGGGGATTCAGGTCTCACTGGTGGAAATGGAGGGCCCTTACCTAGGAGGAATTCTTCATTCAAATTGAACCACGGTCAGCTACAATTGCATTGTCCTCTTTGAGATGGCCAGCTGAGAGTCCACAGCAGATCAGATCAGATCTCCACACTGAACACATGGAGAGGGACTCATAGCATTGTTTTTGAAGAGACATTTGCCATTAAAATAATCAGGTATGCTTAATTCACATATTTAAAAAAATCTGAAGCTAGCCTGGGCTACATGGCAAGACCCTATCTCAGGGAAATGAAACCACACCAACAAATGCCCTTACTGTAGGATTAGCACAGGAGCAGTCGAACTGAAGAGCAGTGTGTCAGTGTGAAGCTGTGAGATTGTGGCTGCTGGCCAGCTCTCGTTTTCACCTTTTGTTGGTAGGTGCCACATCTTCTCCTGGGGTTGTGTCAGCTTCAGTATAAAGAGTTCTGATGGGCCAGGCGGTGGTGGCGCACGCCTTTAATCCCAGCACTCGGGAGGCAGAGGCGGATCTCTGTGCATTCGAGGCCAGCCTGGTCTCCAAAGCGAGTTCCAGGAAAGGTGCAAAGCTACACAGAGAAACCCTGTCTTGAAAAACCAAAAAAAAAAAAAAGAGTTCTGATGGTTCTAACCCCACAAGATGGTCATTAGGACTTCTTCATAGGAGTTTCTGCCTTCAGGTTCCGTGTTGAGATGGGTGGGTCTAGAGAGGCTTTGTCACCGCTGGCTTCAGTCCTTTCCTTGAGTGCTCTGCTCTGATCGGGGCTTTGGGAGATTAGTTAACAGGTGGGTAGTGAAATCAGCCATCAGAGATTTGGATTGTACTTTTCATTCTTAAAGCTTTCAGCTAATCTAGGGAAAACCAGAGGAAGAGCAGCTCCAAGCCTGCAACAGGGAGTTCTTAGGTTGAGCTTTCCTCACATTCCTACAAGGTGCCAGGCCTACACCCAGCCCTGGAAAGTAGTTCATGTGCGCCCCTCCCTTGTAAACAGAGGGCAGACACTAAGGACAGGCAGCTCTCTGCCAAAGAGTCTGCTGCAGATGATTTGCACGTTAGTGGTTCTGCCAGTTTTGATGTGAGGTGTAGACTTGAGCCTAGCTCTGTAAATATTCTAAGGAGAGCTCACTAGTGCTCCAGACATGTGCTGTACTTGCTGGTCCACTTGGATTGATTTTCTGTCTGTCAGTTCAAGCACAGTGTTGAGTCTTTTTGTTATGAGGAGGGGATTTTTTTTTCCTTTGAGTAACTGAGTAATAGTTAACTTTTGAGTAACTGTGCTGTCAAATCGGGGACTTGGTCAATTAAAAGTCTAAAAATCTTATGCCATGAGTAAGCTTTTTGCTTCAGTGTGAGTGAGACAGAGTAAGACAGCAGAGTGTGGCGGCTCACGCCTTGAATCCTAGCACAGACAGGTAGATCTCTTGAGTTCTAGGTCAGCTGTGTGTACATAGCAAGTTCCAGGCCAGCTGGGCTACATAGTGAGACCGTGTCTCAACAAAGAAAAAGGAATGAGTAAGGCATGGATGAGCTCCAGGACAACAGGGAAAGTGGACCTTTCTTCCTCCCCCAACTGAGCAATAGTAGAAATGGGAGTGTGCAAGCACATACAGGATTTGTGTCCCAGGCTGTGGGGTCATGCACAGGAGAAGCCAGCAGCTGGTGTGAGGAGCACTGAACTAGTCCCGGGTCCACCACTGTGGACTGTAACAGGTTTGTTCCCTCACAGTGCAGTTTGGTTAACAAATGTGTGAAATAAGCTTATATTAAACAGCCCCTCAGCGACTTCCTCTTTAGAGTCTTCTAGTAAATGGTCACAGTTTGCCTGTTTGTTACCCTATTTACTAGATATTTTTTTCTCCTCATAGCCAAAGATCAGACCTTGTAGCTTTGTGTGTGTATGTATGTGTGTGTGTGTGTGTGTGTGTGTGTGTGTGTGTGTGTGTGTTTTCCTAATTTCAAGCACAGTGGAGCTGCTATCTCTGTTGAATGACTATAATTGATGGATGAAAAAAGATGACTTTAAATCCTGTTTCAAACCAAGAACTCTCCTGTGGGTGCCTAGTTATTGGAATTGCTGTTAAAGATCACAGGGAAGGAAGGTTTTGTATATCCTCGAACCCCATTGGCACATTCTGCCAACCTCTTCAGTAGGGGCCTCTTCCTCAGTTCCTTTCCAGACCTTGTAAATAGACAGTAGCCTAGGTCATAGTGGAGGATGAGCAGCAGTAGGACTCTTCCTACAGAGAACAATGAATCCAAGTCCCTGCTGAGGCACAGAGCAGACAAGACACATGTAATATCTGTTTCCTTAATGGGAGGGTATACCTTGTAGTTGAATTTTCTTATGATCACTGCTTAGTACTACCACACAAAAAGGACCAGGGTCCTTTCATATATGTATACAGTGCATTTTGATCCCATTTAGAATTATCTTAAGCAAAGTAGATCTCAGAAAACTCTTAAGCAGCTTCTCATCTTGGAAACACTCAAGTCCTGAGGCCTCATTTTGTCCTGTATCTCCATTTTCTGTTGGTTTGGCCTTCCTTGTATTTTTTGTTTAATCTCTCTTAATTTTGTTTATTTATCCAATTGATCTTAATGAATAAGCCCAGTGTGTAGGGGAATGAACTAGCCTGACATCCTCTGTATCAGTGTTATCAGAATAAGAATGTTTGTACCACTCCCAAGTCTCTTGTGTTTTTGGTGTGGGCACTAACCTGTTGGCCTATCCTAGGGCACAAATAGCCCACAGTCCATGGTTTCGTATTAGGTTGGAATGATAATAGGTCTGCTCAGAAACGATTCCCTTCGGCATTAAACCTGAGGTTATCTACACCAGTAGCCAAATGCAAGTCAGATGGGAAGACACTGGGAGAGTAAGCATTGCAGTGCCAGCCTGCGCTGCCTGCATATTTCAACTCTTGCCTATCTCTGTGAAGCAGAAAATAACCTCCAGTTTCCTCCAGCAGAGAATTCATTTTAATTTTATAAAGCCCAAAGCAGGCTGGCAAGATGGCTTGGTGGGTAAAGGCCCTTGGCACCTGACAGTCCAAGTTTACAAGCCTGGCATCAATGCCCAGATAAAGGTTGAGGGAGAGACTCAACACCACAAAGTTGACGTTTGATCTGCACATCCCTGCCCCCCCCCCCAACCCACAAAAAAAAAAATAATGTTTTTTAAGCCCATGTTCTTTCTATAGTTTCCTCCTCTCATATCACCTTCTTACGAACTCTGGTTGCCTTCTGTTTGCCTTATCTCATTCATGTAACATTGACTAGAAACATTCAACCTGCCGAGACTCGAATTTGGCATTTGGGGTTTCTCCCACAGCTCATGATAGATAGCATCATCAGCAAGTAGAGCACAGGCTGTACATTCTCTGCTTTGGGATGTTCTCTACCTCCTGGGAAAAAAACAGGCCCCGTTTCCAGGAGTTGAAAGGCAGTTGCCTTTAAAAGGCCCTATTACAGTGCTATGACTTCTTGCTTGTATGTTCTAGGCCCTGGTTCTTACTCTGTGAAATAGTCCCCTGGGGCTTCAGAACACAAGCGAGGACAGTGATTCACAGTGGCCAACAGTTAACTGCACCTTGACCCCTATGCCGGATGCTGTTTTGGCCCTTTACATGAATAGTTCCCACCATCCATGAGTAAGCATTCAGTGTAGATTGGGAAATCGAGACACATGTACTTGAACAATTAGCCTTGAGTCATTGGAACAGAGCTAGAATTTGGACCTGTGCATGTGACTCCAAAGCCTTGTCTGAACCCCACCATCCTCCTCCCGCCCTGCAAGCAGAGACTTGCCTCGCACACACAGGTCTGAAGGGCTGAGGGCTTCCTGTCAGCTGTGCAGCTGAGCAGTCGTGTGTGTGTTAGGCAGGAAAGGCGGATTAGGATTCTACCTGCCTACAGTTTCCACATAGAAAAGAAAATGCCCTAAGTACCAGCATGGCTCCATTGAGACAGATGGATCCAATCTAGGGAACCCTGGGTCCACCAAAACCAACAAACAAAACACTGTTAATTTAGAGGTCAGGGTTCTTATATTCATTTTTTCCTTTCCATAGGATAAAAAGGTCAAGTGGCATGAGCAGCCTTTTGGGGAAAATTGGAGCCAAAAAACAGAAAATGAGCACGCTTGAGAAGTCTAAGCTGGACTGGGAGAGCTTCAAGGAGGAAGAAGGGATCGGTGAAGAACTGGCTCTCCATAACCGAGGGAAAGAAGGGTAAGGAGCAGTTCTGCCCCTCTGGCCAAGAACTGCAGTGACTCTTTCAACCATCCTGTTCAGCAAGCAGGAGTGTTTCACTGTGCAATGAAAATAATGGAGTGCTTTGGTTACTGGGGAAGCTCTGTTAAGATGAGGCAGATCCCGTCTGTGAGGTGCCACTGGGTGAAGATGGGGGCCGGGAGTGAGGAGCAGTGTTCCCCTGGACTGAGTTTGCTGAATTAAAGCTCAGTGAACTGTAAGTCTCCTGGTTTATTCACAAGGCTGGGTCTGGCTTATGGCAGCTGGCTTGTCCTAATCTGAATCTTTTGGTCTTCTGAGAATTGGGCTAGTTCAAGTGCTTCAAAAGCAAAGGAAGCCAGCCCAGTGCCAGGACACTGTCACGTTGTCCTGAATGGTTTGGTATTGTTTTTTTCGACCATGTTACTATGGTCCAGGGCATAGTCTGACCGTTTTCTACAGCCTGTATGATATATGCAAGGCCATTGCTGTGCCGTTTCCTGTTCACTCTGGAGTAAACCAAAAATGACCTTTTCCTTGTTAGTGTTTATTTTGTTTTCCCTGTGGGAGTGTTGAGAAAGGATCTCACTCTGTAACCTAGTATAGCCTCACACTGATGGCAATCCTTCTGCCTCAGTCCTCCAAGTTTGGGATCACAGGCAAGAGCTACCACACCCAGCTGCCCCATATGTTTTTTGGTAAGTAGAAAGAAATGGGGCTCATTTAGTGCTTAGGGAGTGCAAGAGAAACCTAAGGAACACAGACACATGGCTTCAGTCCATATTACTCACTCCTAAGGTATTGAACGGCCATTTATCCAGTCCGGGCTTCCCATCAACCCTGCCCCTCACCAGTAAGATCTTCTCTCTCAGCATGGCAGTCATCTCAGCTCCTTTACCAGTAAAATCGGGATAATCTTACACCTGCATTCGGGTGAAAGCAGAATGTTTGTGTCACTTACACGAATGTAATATGTATAAAGTGCTTTGAAGAGAGCTGCCATAAAGAGCCTTCAGCAGCTCAGCCATGAATCAGCAGATTCATCACTCAATTTGACTTTTCTATCTGAGGCAGTAAAAGTTAAAATTCTCTGAGGCCATCGAGCAGAGCAAAACCTAACTATCTGGGGCTGGTGAAAAAGGAAGACACACACATACATCACCTTCAGGATCTTTCTATCATCTCCTTCTCGTCTCTTTATTTTCTTACCTCTATCCAGATGTGTCCCTTCTGGGTTTTTATTTTTTCCCTTACAGCTTATTTACCCCAGCAGAATCTTTCAAACAATATGAAAGTTACAATGTGGTTACATAATATTTTTAAGCGAATGATTACAATGAATTACACGTTGTTTTTTACTTGTATTTCCCTTATGATTAAACATTTTATGTATTACAGGTGAAAAACAAATTCTCCCCAAGAACCCACATACATTCATGACTAAGCAACTTGTTATAGATTAATAGAGTGTAAGCAAGCAAGGTATTTTTCTCAGCTAGTTCTTTTACTGGCAGGCTGCATTTTGTGGTTACAAAGAAAGGATCAATTACTTTATTATTTATTATTTAAAGGGTAATCTTATTTAAAAAATCTTAAAAGAATCATACATCTAAACTTTTACATATGTAAGACAATCAGTCAGCTCTACTTTAAATCCTCGGGTGCATACCCACTCATCCACAGTTTTTATGTCAGGAAGCTGAGGGCAGAAATGGGTACAAGGAATTAATTAATCATCACCTTTGATCACCAACCCATCTGAGCAAGGAAGGTATGTCAGCCAGCAGTGGCCAGGCAGTCATTGTTTTGTTCCCTGACATCAGTGAGTCCCCACTCACCCATTGAATGTGTGCCTTTCTGAACTTTATTGTTCCCTGAGATTTTCTACCTCAAAGCTGTTAACAAAAACATCTTAACCGGGGGTTGGGGATTTAGCTCAGTGGTAGAGCACTTGCCCTGGGTTTGGTCCTCAGCTCCAGGAAAAAAAAAAAAAAAAACATCTTAACCTAACCTTAAGTCATTTTTTTTTTTTTTTTTTTTTTTTTTGGTTTTTGGTTTTTTCGAGACAGGATTTCTCTGTGTAGCTTTGCGCCTTTCCTGGAACTCACTTGGTAGCCCAGGCTGGCCTCGAACTCACAAAGATCCACCTGCCTCTGCCTCCCAAGTGCTGGGATTAAAGGCGTGCGCCACCACCGCCCGGCTTTAAAAGCTTTGTTTTGGCTATGATGCACACCGAAACCCATAAACACCTTTCCCAATATCAAAAAGAGCTTGAGCTAACTCCTGGGACTCAATTGTTTTCCTTAATCATTAATCTAAACAGCTCTTCAAGAAAAACTTGTAAGACCTAGCTGTGTGACACTTCCTTGTTCTTATTTTCTATTCTCCGCAGCCCTCACTTTATCAGGGGCAGGGGCAACACTTTAAACAGTACAGCTTAAGAGGAAATCATCTTCATAATAATCCACAGGTAAAAATGCCCAGTAGAGTAGGATATTCCATGAGATAATCACACTACATCAAAGGCAGGGAGGATTCCCCAACACACAATCACTCCATGCCAGATTCCAGAGGAAGATGGCAGTGGCAAACATGTAAAGGCTCAGCAGTAGCAAGAGACATTCCGGAGACAAAGGCCCTTGCCTGTCCGAGAGTCACCCCCAGTGACTTGCATCTGGTGGGCCAATCTCCTGGAGTCAATTGCCACCTGCTGCCTCTCTGACATGGCCACTCATCACATGATGGCCTATATAAGTACATGTCATTCAGGTTATTAGTTAGCCTAAATTAGCCTTTATTCCCAGTACTTGGGGGGTAGGGTGTCTTAGTTAGGGTTTTCTGTTGCTATGAAGAGACACTGACCATAGCAACGCTTATAAAAGAAAATATTAATTGAGGCTAGCTTACAGTATCATCATGGTGGGTGACAGTGACAGCATGTAGGCAGACATAGTGCTGGAGAAGAAGCTGAGAGGTCTACATCTTGATCTGCAAGAGCACAAGCAACTGTGTGTCAGAGTGGGTATAGCTTGAGCATATATGAGACCTCAAAGCCTGCCCCCCCCCAACCCCAGTGACACATTTCCTCCAACAATACCATACCTCCTAATAATATCATTCTCTATATGAGGGACATTTTCTTTCAACCACCAACAGGAGAAGGTAGGTTTCTATGAGTTTGAGACCAGCCTGGTCTACACAGTGAGTTCCAGGCCAGCCAAAAAGTAAATAAAATGTACCCTAAATTATAATTAAAAACAAGTAGGGGCATTGTATTTCTTTTTCTTAAGATAGGACTTCACTGTGTAGCCCAAGCCAGCTGCACAATCCTCCTGCCTCAGCCTCCTTAGTGCTAAGTGAGATTATAGGAATGCATACTACACCCAGCTCTGGGAGTAATATTTCAAAATAAGACCTTAACATTATTTGAACCAAACTGGGAGAATTTTTGTTTTTTGGTTTTTCAAGACAGGGTTTCTCTGTGTAG